ACGGAGCAGGTCGAGTGACGTTTTGCTCGGGCTGACTACAGCGGCGCCGGATGAAGCGATGGCACCGGAGCATGCGGGCGACATCGACCCGTGGCACACGGACAAACATTTCTATCTTTTATCTGTGTTGTCAATTTTGTTCGTTTTTTTCTGACTTTCCGTGTTGGTTTTTTTGTGTGATGACATCGTCACCGGTTTTGTAGAGAGACCCGTCAGAGATGGCGTGGCTAACCCGGGTGCCTTGGTTATGTGCCTGATCGTGGAAGACCCCTTCAATGTGGAACGATTCTTAGCTATTGTCGATATTTTCACTGCGTGCCTAACACAGACGATCGGGAGAGATTCGGGTGATTGTCCATTGCAATCATGGCTTTGGTTGGTTGTTCTTTTTCACTGTACGTCCGCAGACACATTCTGACAGCACTTCAGACAGCAGCTTTGTGCCCCGCCAGCTGCTTGTTCCACGCCTACCATGGTGTTTTTGTACAGACAGCACTTCAGACAGCAGTATGCTGTAGTCGGCAATCTTCCGTTTTGGTATAGAGTGGGACAGGGAGGGGGTGATGCTACTGTAGTCGAACGGTGGGACGGACGTGCAGTTCAGTTTTTGGGCACGCATACGGTGCTGCACGGATTTTTCGGTGTAGCACCTCTTCGGGCTCTTGGATACCTTTTTCTCGTTACAATGCTGTGTGCGTGTTCTTTAGATCCTCAGATGGCTCTAGCACTTTCGTGACCACGGGCTGAGAGTATTTTGCTAAATTTTGGCATTTAGCAACTGACATACGGTTTAATGTGAAGACAACAACAACAACAACTCAACATCGAAAAAACTCTGAAATAAATAGGATAGGATGACGCGCGACAGGGGGGCAAAAAATCATTTACTCGTACGACCTACGACACAACAGTCTAATGAAGACATGAGAGCATTAAAATTACAAATCACAGGTCTTCAGTCGCTGTCTTCATCGCTGTCATCGCTTTCGTCGCTACCGCCACCGTTGTTGGCATCTGCGGCGCTTCCCTCCTTCTCTTCTGAGGTACTTTGAACCCTGCCCCTGTTGACCTTGAGCAGTGCGGAAGCGCAAATAAATAATAGACTACGGTTGCTGTGTACACGCTCTCTTGTCGTTCACTAAAGCAACACACCGCAGAATGGAAAACACTCGTTCCAAGAACGCAGAGGATGGTTGTAAAAGAGCAACGTTCAACATCAAGGCGTGCCACGTAGGGAGCTTTGTCTTGTTGTCGTTCCAGAACGCCATGTGACCGTACTCGGGCGTCTGTGTCACTGGCCGCCATGTAGTAGACTAGTCTTCGTTCTCCTTTAGAAGCCCCCTGACCATTTTGCTCTTGACGAACGGGAGCACCTTGAGGCTGCGAATGGCGTCATCGGTAAACATCTCCAAGGCCTTGGCATCCCTCGCTTGGGAGTGGCGTCCGATCCTGTCGTGTGCGTACTGGCAAGGGCGCCTACAAGTAGTCCTGTATTTCAGCCTCGAGCAAGCTTGCAGATGCCCCCTTCACACGCAACACGCAACGACAATAACCGACAACCAAGGAGGAATCGAGGAGGAAGAGGGGAGGGTGTGCCTAGGTTTCAACTTCGTTGAAACACGCGCGGATCACTATTACGGACAATCCTCACACATGTACAACACGATGTGAGTATTTTCGTGTTGCCGTTTTCAATTTACACAATCTAGTCTACACTACATTTTCTCACAGGCCGCAGTCCGTAGTTGAGCTCACCAGGTCGTCTCCTTGGCCGACTAGTTTGGCGACAACAGCAGCGACGGTGGGCAAGGAGACATCCGGTGAGAAAACACCGTCTTCAGCCAACTCGAGCTTGCTGCGGAATCGCTCCACGATGTTGTACGTCTTTTGCGCCTGTCATCGTGAGAAAGCGGCACCCGAGAGGGGCGAAGTGTAACAAGAGGCGAAATGCTTATACTAAAAAAGAGATGAAGCAGCGAAAGAAATACCAGCGAAGAAAAGTGAAGCTCGAAATGTCTACTTCCCGCAAATATTTATTGCACGCGCCCTATTTACACGTACCAATGGCTCGTCGCCCTCCAGGACGATAGTTGTTGAAGTCACGGAACGGCCGACGTCCACCATTCAAAGCCAGCTGCAACTGAAGGCTCTGGGGGGTTTTGTCGTCGCGAACTCGCACTAGCTCGTCCCTCATGAACTTGGCTGCCTTGCTCTTGTCCGTGTCTCCGCTCTCGTAGGCGGCGACTCCAACACTCCAGGCCAGTTCATGGCGATAATGTAGTCCCGATCGAATCTAGAGCCCCACCGGTGCCGCTGTCGCCGCTGGTGGCAGCCGCGGCACTTGTCTTTCGGCGGACAAATTGCACCTCATTGTCCGAATCCCCTTCGCTTTCACTGCTATTATCCCACCTACTTTTAGCGTATAGGCTTCCATACCGCTAAGAGGCGACGACATGGCACCGCCGTTCAGCCGTGTGTGAAGCTGTGCAGCTGGGTAGAGAGCTACGAAGAAGGGACAGAGGGCACCGTGAATTTAATCGGCGACAATCGGCGACTTTTTTTTTTCCGGCGATTTTTTTACAGCTGTTTTTCGGTGACATTTTTCAGAAATCGGTGTTTTCGGTGATCGCCGGCGGGGGAAGGGCCTAGCTGCAGATACTACATGTACATGTTGAATGCATACGGTGTGTTGTAGCAGGTGTTCCCCGTGCTGCGCGATCCATCGTACGCGTAGAAGGTGAACGCACCACTGTGCTTCTTGCATCGTACAGCACGAGTGTTGGGGTGTATTTTCAAACAACCTTGACGACAGATTTGACACGTTTCGGAGAACACACCGGGACAGCCTGTTTAAGGCTAGAGTAGCCACATACACAGGCTTTGGACCCCATTGTTCGCGCCGGATAAAGAGCCGAAGCGCAACCCTTCTAGTTTGATCTCATGTTTATTTTAGCAACTCCCTTTTTTTAAAAGTAAGTGTCGTACCGATGTCGATTGCCTGGCCACAAGGATCAAGTTGAGGTCCGTAGGTCGTCACATCGATCACCTGATTCAGGACACAATCCAATCTTAATTCTTCAGGACAAAGGGTCTCTGGACTCTTGGTGCCTTTGGTAGGTACTCGTTAATCGACGGGGGTTGCTATACTGTTTCTGATCACCGCTTGCCCGGTTCGGTGGCGAACGGCATAAACTTGGACATACATGATGACGAACGACGACGAGGCCGTTGTTCGTGGCCCTACCATGATGGTGTTTGGCGCTCGCGGATCTACATGCAGCAGCTGCAGCAGCCGCAGCCGGCCCGTATGCATGAACACATGAAAGGTACCTTTCCACAACACAAAAAAACTGGGATGAATCGAGTCCGTATCTAGCAACAAACGACGGTGTCGTCGCCTTGTTTTGCCGACAAAAAAAAATGATAGTGCGCACTGGCGCCGTTCCAGGAAGTCTCTGCCATTGCGCGATGCACAAGACCACACCACCACGACTTACAAAACGACATACATAAACATACTCCGTAGCAGTCTACGACCGAAGAACGACAACGTACTAATCCGATCTTGCCGCGGATCATTTCCGGGGGGGGGGGGGGGG